GTAGAGATAAGAAGAATTTTTATCTCAATAGAGTTGAAAAAAGCCATCCCCCCCTAAGACTAGATGGTACTTTGATGGAAGAAAGGGTTAATCAGCTCCCTGACATAGTCTTTGGTCAGCCACTTCGTAAACATTCAATTGTAGGATTTGGTGTTTTTCATAATTGGGTGAAACGTAGTATATTTTGGGAATTGCCATACTGGAAGGATTTATTGATTCGTCATAACCTTGATGTCATGCATTGTGAGAAGAATTTTTTAGATAACATTAAAAATACTGTCATGGATGACAAGGGTTGTACGAAAGATAACACCAATGCTAGATTGGATTTGCAACTATATTGTAATAGATCTGAATTAGAATTGATACCTCAAGATGATAGAACAGCTATAAAACCCAATGCTTCATATGTTCTTAGTCGAGAGCAACGAGCTCTTATTTGTCAGTGGCTGAAGGAATTGAGATTCCCAGATGGGTATGCATCCAACATAGCACGATGTGTTAACATGCAGGAACTTCGATTGTTTGGGATGGAAAGTCATTATTGTCATGTATTCATGCAGCGTCTCTTGCCAATTGCTTTCTGTGATTTCCTCGTAGATGAAGTTTGGGGTCCCTTAACTGAGATGAGTAACTTTTTTAGAGCTTTAACTGCTCTGATTATTCACGTCAATAACATGGAGATGTGGGAGGAAAAAATTATTCAGACCATTTGCAAGTTAGAGAAAGTATTCCCGCCAGCATTCTTTGACTCGATGGAGCATTTGGCTATCCATCTACCATATGAGGCAAAAGTTGGAGGACCTGTCCAATTTCGTTGGATGTATCCTTTTGAAAGATATATTTCTTCTAATATATCGTTACATCACAATAACATTCATGAGCATATTTAATAATTTAATGTTATTAATTAATTTTATTATTTGTTTAATAGAAAAATGCATGACCTTAAGAAAATAGTGTTGAACAAAAATCGTGTTGAAGCTTCAATTTGTGAGTCTAATATTCTTTCAGAAATTTCCTTCTTCTGCTCGCATTATTTTGGATCTAACATAGAGACAAGATTGAATCGTCAACCAAGAAACATTGTCGGCATGAATGATGTTATGGATAATTGTTTGTCTATCTTTAAACATCGAGGTCAACCATTAGGTGGAGAAACGCGTATGCGTGCATTGTCACCCAAAGAATTAAAGATAGCAGAACTTTATGTTTTGCTTAATTGTGAAGAAGTTAATCCATGGATTGTGTATGTTCTCTAGTTCTAGCTTTCATTTGTTTAAGTTACTGGTATGTTTAGATCTCAATTTACTCCAACTTCTTCATGTAGGCCTTTTGATTATCAAGTATGTTCTGGTCTATCAGAGGATCAAATTCAAATCAAACGGCAACTTGAATTTATTCCTTGGTTTAAGACAACGGTAAGTAATTTATTTTAATAATCTTTATTA